TAGCGCGGGTAGCCCTCGAGTAGCTTTGCAAGAAATTCTAAACAAACAAACTGTTACCACCAAAATAAAATCGAAGGTTGGGACCATAGGTTGCGGGTTAACAAATCCCACTATTTGATTAGAGTAGTCAACGATTTGGCCATGGATGCTATTGACTATCTGTCTTACCTCCAGTCTGTCACTTCAAAATTAGGGACGGCTAGCGCGGATAGCCCTCGAGTAGCTTTGCAAGAAATTCAACAAAAACAAAGCTAAGAATGCAAACAGATAACTGTTTGTTGATAAAATGTTTTAATTACAGATTTTCTAATCCTTTCTATATGAAAGATATAAAATCCTTTAAAGTATTTAAGTAAAGAAACGATTAAAATTCATCTGATCCAAAGAGGAGTCATATTTTTCTTGTATACTTTATTAGACAGTTCGTGGCATCCGAATCGACGATTATAGCGGTAGGTAGTATGCTCTTTAAACTTCCTTTAAAAAATACTGTCAGAAAACAACATTTCATTTGAGATTGTGGCTCGTTTCGTCTTTATGTTTTGTTTTTTCATCTCCATCTGTCAAGGTGTTCCAGAGATAATCGAGTAGAGAGAAAGACAGTAAAACTCGTTTGGGTTTTGGCGTGTTCTGATTGAATGGAACTGCCATGGTTGTCTATGCGAGATTACACGGGTTTGTCATTCTTTTTCTTTGTGTAACATTTCTTCAAAATACGAAAAAAAAAATCAGGTAATCTAGCAAAATACTGGAAAAGGCAGTTCTATTTTAGGTGGTTTAGATACATACAAATTCTCTACTGATGTAATATATTTTTAAATCACTCTTTTCGATATCATTGTTTAGTTAGTTTGTTTGTAGTTAAGCACAAAGCTACACAAAGTGCTATCTGTGTTCTGCCCATCACGAGTATCGAAACCCGGTTTCTAGCGTTGTAAGTCCATAGACATGCCGCTGTGCCATTGGGGGGCTTATTCGAACCTGGTTTATCATTTGTTTATAGGTAATGTTGCTTTTATAAATTCTCTAATTAAATTTGTTTGATTTAATATTATTAAGTCTTGAGTAGTAAGATCTACAACACGAAACAATTAAAGGATAATTGGTATTTATGATATTTTAACCATAATATTTTCAATCATCTCCTTCAGTTTATTTTTATGTATCTTATATTATATCCGTCACGTGATTTGAAAGGCAAATTATTATTAATCGAACTTACGCTCGTAAATGGACATGTTATAGCTTTCACTTCAATATGGAGTGTGGTCGTCCTGAACAGAAAGGGCAGCCTTGCACCGACGTTGCGTGTTTAAAATCAGAGCGGCGTTGATGACATCTAGGCCAAGAAGTGCCCTTGATCTATCCTCTGAAGAGCTATTTCCAATGCGTGTCTAATGTCTGGAGTCACTTGATGGAACTCAACACCACTTCCATGAACACCCCATACGCGTGTAATCAGAATGGAGTCCGGTGAGTGTGCAGACCTCTTCATTCGTCCAATCTCCTATTCTTCAAGAAATATGTCATCAAGTTTAGCAGATTGTGGAGGGGTAGCGTTATCATCGAATATCCTGATGTCAAGGACAATTTCACCAACATATGTTAATACAAAAGGTCGTACGATGAGATCCCTATAATGTGTGACATTAATTGTACCAATTACGCACGATGGAATGGTCAATATGTCTGTCAATACTTATTCTGGTCAAATCATACGTCTACCACCGCCATATGTGTCACGCTCCTACTTTAAACTGACGTTGGATCTGATTCCAGATTATCTTCAAATGAGTATACGCTTTTTATCTAGCTAAAAGTGAACGCTAATCTTGTGTAAAAATGTATCCTACTATTGCGTTGAGCTAGTATCGAGTGACATGGTAATCTTTTTGTGTTTTAAGTGATGGTATATGCCTTTCTTAGTTGTCCGAGTAATGTTACTATTGGATTGAGCAGTTACACATTCTGATATCGACACTTCTAGGACTATGTCCAACTACCTGTTATGATTGGCTAACATCCAATTGTCTGATGGCTTCCCACACGAGAGAGAAACACAAATGTCTTTTTACAGATAATTTGGAACATTTCGAACACTGTGATTCATTTTCAAGAGATAAATGATATAAAATTGTTTACAGAATTATGTTTCTGGCTATAATAAATGACGAATCATTTGTATTTCAGATGACATGACTGATTATAAGATGCCTAATTTGCATAACAATGAAATTAGGAGGGCGATTACCACTACTTTATAACATTGTTTTTACCCTATCATGCCTATAACTTTACAAGTGCAGATTATTTTAAACTGTTTTTGCATTGTAGCTTCCAAAGTAACAATTAACACTTAGTAAGGACAAACCAAGTTTCTAAAAACCCTGAACTTGATGTTCGATATAGACCTAGCATATATAAAAGACTTATTCTCAAAAATATTTTTATTAATAAAATCGACTATACACGGTGTCTAAACCTAATCCTTAAATTCGCATATAATCTTTTCTTTGTCTATTCAGTTCTCTTGTTGGACAACAATCTAAAAATAATCAAACCAGTTTTGATCTTGATCTTGTACAAAGATCTAGAACAAAGACTCGTTGCAATGCTTTAAAAACTCTTTATAAATTGGAAAAATAGTGTTAATGTCATTTAATGATGAATTGGGTAGATTAACACTTAGTTGCCCTAGAGCTGCATACTATATCTTTTTAAATGTTCAACTCTTTCAGATTAATGTGTGAATATATGTAAACAGCACATGACTATTGCACATAGACTGAGAAATAACCAATAAACTTCAGTGCTGCTAAATCAAACTTTATCTTCACAGAAGAAATCGAAGTGTTCAGGCAACTAACATTCCAATTAATCTTTCAACTAACCTTCCAACTAACCCTTATATTATCAGTTTTTAAGTGATACTAAAAATTGCCCCCTAAATCAGAAGCCTAAATTTAGCTATATGACTAAAAAAAGCTATACGTGGCTATTTCAACGCATATGTTTTTACAGTAATAAAAATGATCAAATACATTAAACTATGATAAAACTGTTCAAGTCAATCTTTCCTGCAAGAAGCATGACGTATAACATATTTCATTACGATTTTTAAGCCTAACACAATGCCTGCTTAAAGATTTTCAATATCCAAAGGATGCAAAAGCTCTGCTTTAATTGTTTTTACCTTCGTCCTCTACAAATTTGAAACTATTTGCTGCTTAAAGTGTAATAGACGAAAAAGAAAGTACGGAGCAAGTGATGACGTTTCTTATAATAAAGTGTCATATTTCCGTAGTTTGGCATGTTACCCAGTATTCTTATTTTTTTTTCTGTGTCCGCCTATAAGATAAATACACCACACTTCGTAATGGATGGCTTTTAGCAGCGGGAATACAAGGTGAAAAAAAAAGCAGCTTCGATTTTACTGTGGTCAATATCTTCATAAGACGGCAGTGCTTCAGAATCTAACGTCTGTCATTGTATGTGGAAACAGAGGTTTATTCGATATTAAAAAAAAAATCGACAAATTCACTCGCAAAGTGCAATTACTCCAGCCCTCTGTTACTAAATTTCACCACCGCTTATTAAATTCACCATTATCTGTTATGATTCTCTGCCGGATGGTTTCATTTTATTTGAATACATTATCTATTGTTTAAAAAAACAACAACAAAAAACGTGTTACAGTTTCGAGCTAACACACGAAAACATTTTGGACCAAATTAGACTTTCAATTATAATGAACGTAGAGAATATATATATTTTTTATACATGTATTAATCAAATGTGACATATTCAGCTAAATTCTGAACGTAATGAATTCCACAGTAATACTTCAGTTAAAACGTCCACGCGTGTGTGGCTGAAATACTGTAGTGTCATTTGACATATTTTTTTTAATACTCTCCAATAATAATATAAACTTGTTACACTAAAACTTTTGATTTATGAAAGTTCTGCCAAAGTAGAATGCTAAATGACTTAGCAATAACTCACTAATAATACTTCAGTGTATTTGAATACAAGTAATGTAATGTAAAGATGTTTACAGAGAAGTATTGGCTTGAAAAGTTTGGTAATTCTGAGAATGGAACGAGAAGCACGTTTACAAATCTCTTTCGATAGAAAGAGATTAACTGGTCTTTTCGGTTGAAAAACTTATCAGGAAACACACGAGTTGAGGTTTACCTAGAACTCTGTTCTTAAACTAAGCCTACGAAACTTCCTTTCATTGTGTGGCAAAGTAACCAACATCTAGGACAATGTTTTTCTATTATCGTGAAAAATGAGCGTCCGAGCTCAAACGTACGTCTAAGCGTGACTATGTACTTCGAACGGTAAACGTACGTCTAAGTATGACTATGTACAATAAACGTACGTCTAAGTATGACTATGTACAATAAACGTACGTTTAAGCGTGACTATGTACTTCGAACGGTAAACGTACGTCTAAGTATGACTATGTACAATAAACGTACGACTAAGTGCGACTTCTACACACACACATGTAAAAGGGAGAGGTTGGGCTTCTTGGCTGTGGAGATTAATAAGGAAGTATAAGAACCAGATATGATGTCAAAGTCGTAACTTCGGTTTTTTTTATTTACTACTGATAATGGTATTATATATATTAATATCGTGTAGTGGGAAACTAGGTTGGTAATAAGTCGTAAAAGTGTTAAAAACAATACTTGAGAGATGTTTATGTTAACTTCACATAATCCTGAAAGCCCAACTTCAACCAGTAGTATATATATATATATGTGTGTGTTATTTTTCTCTCCACTGACACCAAAAACTAAATTATGACTATCTTTGTGTTCTTCTTTCTATAAACAAGACCATAGTAGTGCATTTCTCCATTTTCTCCATTTGAAAGCTAGAATGCAGAGATGTAGCGTTCTTGTTCGTGTGTTTCGAAGAGTTACTTAGTGCACTTGTGTTGCTAAATTTTTCATGCTAATTGTTTAAAATTTCCATCTGTTTTACAGTGTTGCCAGAGGGGAAACCCATAATTGATGGAATAGACCGAATGTATGACATTGGTGAGTATGTAAACCTGACCTGTAAATCTAGACCATCGAAACCAGTAGCAGTGTTGTCCTGGTCAATAAATGGTCAGCCGGTGAGTAAGCTATTTTTTCTTGATATTCAGTATTATTTTGAAATGTGGACAGTGAACGGCAGCAATATACTGAAAAGTAGCTAACAAACAGGTATTTAGTATCAGACTAATAGACAACTATTTGGTTACGCAGTAAACCGGAACATGTTCCATACGGAAATACATAAAAATGAGGACAGCAAGACGTAAAAATACACTGAAACGTAGCTAATAAACAGATAATTAATATTACACTAATACACAAATATTTGGTTACGTAGTAAATCGGAATATGTTCCATACAGAAATACACAAAATTATGGACAGTGAGCAGCAGTAAATACACTAAGGGGTAGATAACAAACAGGTATTTAGTATCAGATTAATACACTAATATTTGGTTACGCAGTAAACCGGAACATGTTCCATACAGAAATACATAAAACTGAGGACAGCAAGACGTAAAAATACACTGAAACGTAGCTAATAAACAGATAATTAATATCACACTAATACACAAATATTTGAATATTTGGTTACGTAGTAAATCGGAATATGTCCCATACAGAAATACACAAAATTATGGACAGTGAACAGCAACAAATACACTAAGGGGTAGAGAACAAACAGATATTTGGTATCACACTAACAGACAAATATGTGGTTACGAAGTATACCGGTATTTACGTTCCATACAGGAATACGCTAAAATTATGGACAGTGAATTGGTAATAAGTATTCACAGAGCAATGCACTAAAATGTGAAGAGTAATCTGACGTATTTCTTTTAAAAAAACTGTAGATAAATAAATATATATTCAATATTTCCACAATATGTTTTAAGTGTGTACAGTGTATTGATATTAAGTATTTATACAGCAATGCACTTTACTGTAGATAGTAAATTACCATTTATTATTCACAAAAGTAACATTGTTTGAGAATGTGGATACTGATTCGGTATTGGATACGGAAAATATAGCAGTTTTTTTGTTTTTATTAATGTGGACAATAAACTGATATTCAGCTTTAATACGGCGGGAAGCTGGAATGTGGATAGTAAACCTTCTTTAAGTATGCACACAGCAATGTTTTTTCAAAATGTTTACAGTGAATCAATATTAAATGTTCGTCCAGCAACATTTTCGATATATCCAGAGTGACAGAGTGGAATTTTGTCATTTATTTTATTGATTCACAAACATATCCGAAGAGATGGCAAACAGAAAACGTACAATAGGTCAATTGCTCCCGTTCTTATATCCTTAGATCCACCTCGAGAATCCAATATAGCCATCCTCACTGGTAATATGTTCTTACACTCTCTTCTGGAGATTACGAAAGCTACATTTTTTTTGTTCGTGTTTTGAAGGGTTTAGTCAATACTGTGTTTGCGTTAGAATGATTGAAATCTCTAAAGTGCGACGACCGAATTTTTTTTATGACTCGATAGAAAAGTTAAATAGAAGGTATGAGCATCTGTTTGACCTCTTGACATATCCCAAATGTACTCGTAAGAGCAACTGCTAGAATTTAATTTTAATCGTCAGTCAATATATGTATTATATTCAACTTAATTAACAAACAGAGAGTGTTAAAATGATACTGCTGCAGGTTCCTGTAGTAGAATAACTCAAGTACAGAATACACAAGACGCCTCGAAAAAATCTAAGAAGAATGAAACTGGTAACCATTTAAAGCAATATCAATAAAATATATTTATTATGTTACTTTAAGGGCTTGGCGATAAACGTGAGGGTTTCTAACATTAATTACATCCCGTGGCAACTTTAAATTATTATAATGGTCAGATTTAGGGTCTGAGTGAATTAATTTGTCTTGAAGAGGCACATGTAGGAAAAAGGAAATATACGCCACTTTGGCATTACTGGTACTGTTAAAAGTGGAGACTGATCTCTACAAGAACAAGGTTCTACGATCTCATATACAAATAAATGATTAATGTAAAAATTATGCATGTAATGTCCCCGGTGGAACAACGGTAATTTTTCGGAATTACAACACTAAAATCCGGTGTTCGAATCCCCGCGGTGGACATCGCAGACAGCCCAATGTGGCTTTGCTATAAAACAAACAATACGCGCGTGCTATGTTATTATAGTAGTTCCGTAGAAAACTGAATATTATTGTTTTGCTACATACGGGCTTGCATTTTAGATAAGAACATATATCTTAGTTTTCCTGACTTTTTTTAAGAAGTCAGTGAATCTGTTATCTTTAAGATTACAACAGATTTTAAATCGAACAATTCTTCTAATATAACTTAACACAGATAATCACACTTAATTAGATATCCGTCTCTATTCTCGAAATCTTTGGATTCTGAAGCTACCGGCAATTTCTTCTATAAAAGTACCAATTATGGGTCAATAGAAATTGGACCCAGCTGGTTTCGAGAATTTTCAGCAAAGTAAATAGGTTTTTCTTGGCAGCAGCTGAATAATTTTAAGTTTCCTGGAATTACAGCATAAGTTATAATTTATACAGAGCATTGAGAAGCATTGAACTTCAAATGCAAATTTCAAATCCTATGTAGTTATTAGTTGCTTGTTTACAGTATTATGTCGTTTAGATAAATCAAGGGGCATTTATCATAATCCTGCTAGTGAAGTTACGAAATACACCACTTCGCTACTACGTGGTTTTAAGAGTACTTATTAACTTAAACACTGCAATACCAATGTACGGTTTACATTTCAACTTAGTTGTAACTTGTTAATTTTTTTTCCATATTGTCAGTTATCTTTTCAAAGATTAAAAATTATCTGACCAGTCTAGTGAGTGTCCACCTGACTGTGAGAAACTTTGGTTCATAGTTTGTAATCCTGTAACTCCGTTCATCGCCTATTTAATGTCTGGTGTGAAGAAGCGTGTATACTTTCAATGGCAACAATTTAAACGAAAATATATTCAATGGTTTCGTTATTAGATCCTGCCAGGTGTGGCCTAGTGGTTAGAGTGTACGGTTGCGGACGGAACGATCCAAGTTCCGAGATGTAATGCTTCTGTAAACGCTCTATTTTCAGCTATAGGCGCGTAAAAAAGCGACAGTCGTTCTCATTATTTGATTTAAATATCCGGACAAAGCCGGTAGATGTTGTTGCTCTCCTTCTAGTCAGAAGTTCAAAATTAAGGAGGATGAACATGAACCCTAGGGGTTTTTGACCTACGTTTTAGTCCACGTTCAAGTCCAATATTTCAATACCAGTTCGAAATTAAACGAAGAACTTTATTAGCGCCTTGTAATACGAATCGCATTGTTATAGGTCGCCTTCTGGACTTATTAATGGTGGCAAGTAATAAATTAGATATATTCTGATATATATATATTAATTTCCGTATAGGCAAGGTCTAATGTAAAATCAATCCATGAAAATAATATTAAACTAATAAGAGTTAATGAGAAAATAAATCCAGGGCTAACCATGAAACTGGTAAATTTAATGTTGCCTTGCAGTATCTACTTTCTGAAGAAGCGGTGTAAATATAGTGAATTAGATCAAAAGCACGCCTCCACTTCGGAGGCTTTCAGTAAAAGCAGGAAATGAAGGGGAAGAAACACTAGCATAAAGATTCAGAGATCTTTATTACTCGTGACTTGATCAGAATCTGTTAATTTACACTGTTTTCTTATGCTACAACTAGGTTGATGAACGTTTCTTGACACCCATGCAAATTGAACGCTACGTTGACGGATTAGAAAGCGCTGTCTTAAGTCTACAGTTTCACGTAACCCTCAACAATTTTAATCAAGGCGTGATGAAAGTGCGATGTACGGCGACTATTTCTCAAGACTACTACAGCCACAGTGAAGAAACAGTAATTGGTGAGCGACTGAAGACAGCGACTCCAGATCGTATGTAATGGTGGATATATATGTATGTGTGTGTGTGTGTGTGTGTGTGTGTCTGTGTGTATGTGTGGAAATAGTTTGTTTGTACATTAGAGGAACTTCAATTTTTGTGGGCTTCAACTGTTTTAGATATATGTTTGTTTTGCCTCACACATACAATTAACGTTGTTGATTTTTTATCTTATATACATATTAACTATGGCTCATTTGTGTTTTCGCGTTTGACTTGAGATTGATAAGAGAGGACGGCTAAAAACCCAACACTAATTTGATATGCTGAACAAAAAAATGAAATAATAAATAAAAAACTGGGTTTTTATTATAGCCCATTCCTTTTAGTTATTCGCGTATTTAAAGTACAATGAAATTAAAACCCGAATTAATCAAAATATCTCGAAAAAAAGAATTGAAAATAAACACAAAAAGAACAAAGTATAATAAGATTAACTTTAAATAGCTAGTGATGCACTGATCTTCCCAACAATAAAAAATTTGCATTTGAGTTCATTCATTTAAGTTTTACTTCAAAAAACATTAATTATTAAACATAGTATCATGACTTTATGAAAATTTATATTTGCTAATTTTAAGGTGGCTCGTACATTCAGTTACAAACGTTCTAAAATTAACATAGACAGCTTGAAAGTGCTGGAAGGATCGCGAATAATTAATAATTGCATAAAACTATATAAGTTACAATTTCTCTTGAAGTTGCAGAAAGACACTTGAATCTACATAAAGAATTAAAAATACAAAATTATAATCTCGTATTAATAAAATGTTTGAATCTGAACATGAGATATAACATATAACTCAAAATTATTAACAGTTTACTGTAGGCTATTAGCCATTTTCTTAAGTTAATAAGATATATCTGTTTAGCTTGGATATCTCCACTATCTCCACAGTATTCACGCGTGTACCGTATAATAAATTATATTTTATTTGGAACACACTTCGTTCCCAAGCTGCGTCAACTTCTTTGTTTTATTAATATTCCAATTTCAAACATTAATACTCTTGTCTTGATAGAAATATTTTCACTGACTCTACAATTTGCAGCTTCAATCGTCAACAATGAAGCTGGACCGAAGATCAGTGGTGGTCAGACCCGTTACCGTGTGGGGGATGTCGTGGATGTGAATTGTACGTCGGCCATAGACGTTAGGCCTGCTGAGCTGCAGTGGTTCATCAATGAAAAGAAGGTAGTAATCATACGTGATACTTAAATTACAAGTACCAGAACGTGCTTGGAAAATGTGTCCGGATATTTTACATCCTGTTACGTTTGCTCTTTGTTTTCGCTGAGCCGTCTTCTTAATATAACTTTCACGTCTTCCTTAAAATGAAATTCAAAGGTCATGTGTAATGATATGATAAGTAACTAATACCTTGTCTTGGTTTATAAGAGCTTTGAGTTAATAGTCTTTAAACCTTGGAGACTTCGAGGCAGCTGTGATTTACCCTCAGCTGTAAACGCTCATCCATACGTCAATAAAAATGACGTAAGCATAGCCACCATTCTCTCACTGAGCAATCTTTCATCTTAAGCGAAAATGCTGTACATTAATGGACATTTTCACTTCAAACCAGCAACTTTTCTTGTATCCACTAGTTCATATTTGCTATTTCTGAGAATTAACTGAAGACTGGAATTTTAAATTTATTTAATCATTTTCTTGCAAACTGTTGTAAAGACACAGCTAATATTGTAAAGGTCCATTAATTATTTTCTGTAAACAACTAAATCTAATCAGCTGTAAATACAAATGGTAAAACGGTTCATCGGTTTCAACATGTTTATTTGCTTAAAAGCAGCGAGGAATATTTTTCTCGACAAAGGAATACCGTTTCTCTCGCTCGAGAATAATGAAGCTACAAATTTTCGAAAATTCAAGAAGAAAAACGTAACTTTTAGAGCTACGTCACACAATAAAATATAAATCCGTCAAAGTATTAAACTGTTGTTTAATAAATAAGAAAAACTCTCGCGACGTAATCTGGAATAATAAGCACTGAGCTTAAAGCATTACTAGCAATACTCAACACCAAAGCTTAACACTTCTTTATTACCTGGCATATCACTAATGAATGTTTGTAAAGTCTACGTTTTTTTCAAAAGGATTGCCATGACTACCTTTCAATTTACAGGATGTAAACATTGACAACAATACACTGATTGAATAATTTATTTGTCATGTCGACTTTAAAGGAAGCAATTCATCCTGATTCCATGCAAGCAACCGCTCTCGAATGCGAATAATGTAAAGCAACGTCAATGTCGTCCTTGTGAAAAATGATAAACTATACGGGAGTAATCTAGTCCTTAAGTGAAAACTGTTTATGTATTGAATGAGCGCCGAAATAACTGGTTTAGTTAAAATCACTTACTTTTGTTATAGACACAGTCGTTAAGCTTGGATAACTTGATGTAGAATATTGTTAACTTCCTCAGCGATCCAAAGATTCACCCATTCATAACCCACTAATGCAAAACAGAGTATATTGCTTTCTTAGAAATGATGGGCAATACATTTAATCTTTGTGGGTTACAATGCTTGCTCCTCTTGTTCAAGTATTCGAATATTCTCTAGCCTATATTGTTCGACGAGCTGCATCAAAACTAATCATGAGGAAGGAGAAATACTGTTCTTAAAGTATAACGTTCGACAGACTAGTTATTTTCTGATGATTATTCTATTTCCGTGTTTAATCATTCTGCTCATGAAAATGTCAATAACAATGAATATAACAAAACATTCTTCTACAAACGGCAAATATTAACTTATCACGTATTCTTTCATCATGATGCACATGGCTACCTTTCAATATTTATAGCGTAACTCAATTTTTTCTCTGATCATCCCCACGCTTACGCATAACTCAGTTGTCTACAACACTAACGATTAGGCTAGAAATGTGATCATTAGTAGAACAATTGTAGTTTTTACTTATATACGTTTCCAACTCTCGCCTCTCAATACAAAAGAAACCCAATTATTTAAATAAGTTAGCATATTAAATAGAAATTTAATAGTAACTTTTATTGCTTATGCTCGTCTGCTTGTCTAAGAGCAAGTGTAGACCATAGTTTATCTTCGCCGTGCCAACCGTAGTTATGAATTTCGATTTTAGCGTATAAGAACATGATCTTACCACGGAGCCACTGGAAGGGGGGGGGGGTATTGCTTTGTTTGTTTGTAATTACGCTACGCAATGGGCTATCTGTGCTCTGCCCATCACGGGTATCGAAACCCGGATCCTAGTGTTGTAAGTCCGCAGACATACCGCTGTGCCACTGGGGGGTGGGTCTATTGCATTTGCAAAACATTACAGGTCTATAAACACAACCATAACATACTAGTATAAATAAAAATAATACTTTCTGCCCCATTTAAAAGATATATCTGTATACAATAGCGCCATATTTGTAATGAATTGATAATAGAAATGAGAACAGAAACAGAATAAAACAAGTTTCGTTAAAATCGGGTTACCGAGTTAGCGCCGTTTTTCGGGTCACTTTTATGACCATTTCTAGCATGAGTAATTTTACATCCCACTACCGTTCGCGCTCTTTACGAAACTTCTTCGTTCAAATCTATTTCCCTGTCAGTGTTCCCATCTTCATTAAGAGGCGTAAGATGACAAAAACAAGATCTTGAAGAATTTCGCAATAATGCGCCTTGGTTATGGTAGGTAATTCGAAGAAAAAGTGTTACTGTTTGTTATTTGTAGAAGAAAGACCACAACATAATGAACTAATTCATCACAATACATGAAAACTCTGACTTCACTTTTTTGAAAAATGAAATGGTTTTTCCTTTTACTCCGATCAAAATTAAAAATATTTTCTTGAATTATGAATAACACGAATGGATTGAAATATTTAATTAAATTATCTCAAAATAAACCTTCATTTTGGCGCAAAATTGAAATTAGCTTGAACGGGTAGTCTAGTATTTATTAAAAATATTTGCATTTAGTTTATCAACACAACAGGTAAACTCTGACATTCGGGGCTCGAAAGTCCATTATATAGCTTTGCGTTAAGAAAAAACACACAAATGAAGAAACTGTATCATTTTAAAATAATGTTTCATCCCATTCAATATATTTGTTGACCAAATGGTACCTTCACAAGCATTGTTAAATGTGACTAAATATATAAATATATATATATACATTTTTTTTAATTCAGTGAAAAGCGCAATTTGCAAGTTTTAGTACCATACGTTTGTGAATTGGTTTACTGGACTTTTCTCCAAAGCTCACATTTGCCTTAATCGTGGGTGATAGATCATTTTGAAAGCCTTCTTTCTTCCTATTTAAATTAGGAATTTTGAACAGTTTTGGTCTATTAACGCAAAGATTTCCAGTTCAGCAAATTTTTGGAATGTGGGAACAAATATGAATAGTAATACATTTTAGCAGCATAAGATCTGTAAAAAAAAGGTAATTTACTCTCTACTGGCAATTTTTTTTCAATTAAATAAATGTGCATTAGGAGTTTGCAAGTCCATTGTTGTTTACTTGATCCGATTTAGAATTATACTTATATGAGCAATTTTACGAACGTTGTTAGTGTAACCTGGGAAATTATGGTACTGTTTTTGTTTTCCTTGTGGAATCATAGGCGTCCACAAGGGGGGACACTTACCTCCTAGATTAAAAACTCTGCTTTTACTACTTATATATTTGATGTAATTTTGTCATTTTGCCCTCTCTGTAATATATCTTGCGGACACCCATGTGTGAAATACAATCTGCGAAAATTTAGTGTCAATTACCACGAGTGGCTTAGATTGAGATCAATTTAGAAAATATGCACACGTTTAATTACTGTTTAAGAATTGAAATCTGGCTTGGGTGTTTTAGGACCAGGCATGGCCTAAGGTTAACGTGCTCGGAGTGTGAATCCAAGGATTCATGATTTAGTGACCATTGCTACAAAAAAAAGGCTCTCCGCACTTTGGGACATTAAGTGCGTTAGAAGAAAGACTGTTTGATGCCACTATTGTATAGTAGAGTAGCCCAATAGATGGCGGTGAATGTTGTTAACTAGCTATGTTCACTCCTGTCTATCAGTTCAAAATTACACACGAATATTATCAGAGATCCCTGTGTAGTTTTGGCGCAAAATTCTGAAAAACAACAACAACAAGGAACAAACAAAATTAAGTGTTGTAATTACTTAATACTATTACAGATCTTTTCTATTTTCCCATTTGTTATTATTATCATTCTTTTACACAGGCTAGACCCGGATATATCATCAAATATCCAAACATTAATTACTTAGGCAGTATGGTAGCCTCTGTACTAGGCCTGAAGTTCCGAGTTCGACAAGAGCACTTTCTGTCCGACGGACTTCGTCTCAAATGTACCGCTACGGTCTCCAGGATCATCGGTACCAGCAGCAAAGAGCTTACCGTTGGAAATCTTCGACATAGTTCGGGCCCTCACGTATCGGAAAATAGTGGCTCGGGTGAGAGTACTAATACTGGAATAGCTGAAAGTATAAATTCATTGTACACTTGTCGAATGAGTTTGCATGTCTTCAAAACTTACAAATAATTATAATATAATATAGAACTATAACCCACACTAAATCTGGCTATAAAACTAGACAGTTCCAAACGCCCTTGTCCATTATTGTCATTGATCGTTATAATCTGCACTTAGAGTTGTTTAATATTTATTTACTTTGATAATAGTTTTGGTTTCACTTTCTTCATTTTCAAAATTATATTTTTTGTTCAAATTTTTTTCAGAATCAATTTCACCATCAGCAACCAATCAGACATTTTAACTTAAATAGTTGGAATCGTCTGATCACACACGAAATATTAAAATGATGTATATTAACTCAAAGTTAAATTAACTAGTACAAAAACGAAATATCTTCGTTAACTGTTTAAATAAAATAAAAATATAATGTTTTATGTTCTACTAATTGTTAAACATACATTTATTGATATTTTTACATTTGATTCAATTTCCAAACATTTATTTCACTAACGACAGTTCGTTAATTTTAACATTCTTATCTTTTAAATATTTTTTTTCCAGTTAACAGGTATTAAATACAAAAACTCGGTTTATGGAAGCTGGTTTTTTTGTTTTGTTTTTTGTAAATACAGGTTGAGTATGTTATATTAAAACGAATTGGAATATGAAAATCAGCAACTCACATGGCAACAACAGTCGATATAAAGTTATGGTGGAAGGACACACATATATATGAACTATTTTGATATTGTTTGACGTTATGTAGGTAATGTGATGGCACTAAAAATTGATCACCTTTGCAAGGGTATATAACAACCCTTTTCGACGCTCAAATATTCATACACTCAGATCATAAAGGTGTGCTGAAGTCAACGATTTAGTATTTCTAAGAAGTAAATTTCTCTTATACTTAATTTCAAAGAAAATAAAGGTGTAGGAATCAATGTGGGGCACCAGAACTAATCAGAAAGAGACATGCAACAACTTGAACCCCAGCCTGGTAAACAAAGTCAGGCACCCTCAATACGTAAGAATTTACGTTTCTGAACGATTCAGTAACAAAAGCCGTCTACATGCCCCAGGCAACACCACGCAACATAATAAAAAAGCATCGCCATCTGGAAAAGTAACACAAGCTGCATCCATGATATATCAGTCAAACCATTGCATACTTCAAGTAGCTGCAGAATGAAACGGATATTCGTGCTATTTTATACGAAGATATACTGGTCGAGACATTGGATACAGCATCTGTGGATTTTGCTGCAAAGGGGAATGTTGAAATGGGCGCTGGAAACCGTCGTATTCATACACTAGATGGATGATGGAGAGCAACAGGAAAGAGGGATGTGCTCTGAACATGAAAACCTTACAACGTAGGCTTTTGCAATGGCAACTTTGCTGCAGAGATATTGTCAAGATGTACAATCATCAGACAGAAAATAACAGAATGTGGTGAAATAGACTGTAACGATGTGGTAAGGCTCCTAATTCGTTATAATGTGACGTACTCAACCTATGTTATTGTTGTTTTTCTCTCATTTTCTTGTTTTTCCTTACAAAGGATTGAAGGATGATACTTCTTGACATCTGTCGAGTGCAGCTAAAATGGCACGTCAAGCCTTTCAATATACTTTTACTATAATTAGTTTTATCAATAATTAAGGGGAAAAAAGATAAGCGAATTTTACAGATTGTTGAGAAATATTTGTTATGTAATATGATTAAGAATACTTCAGCAATTATTTCCTATGCTATGTCGCAATTGTGGTTTTTGTTCCCCTAGTTTTTGTCCCCACTTATTCGTTCTTTTTTTTCTGCTTCTAGCTTTAAATAAGGGTTCCAGTTGCTACGTCCAAGTTTGGCTTTTCTGGTGTTTTGTGGCAATCCTGTGTTCTATAACTGACTAATGAATAACACATTGCCTGACATCTTCAGAGACAGGACAGTGGCTACCGTGTCTTTGTGTTTTATTTTGTGTAGAGACAGTTTCGGTAAGCGTCAATGTGCCAGAGTCGGCCACGTGGAGCTGCAAGAACACTGCGAGAAGAATGATGGGGTTACTATCTTGGTATAACCTTCAAGAGGATCTATGTTATTCAACAATACTTAAATAACCCTAAATCAACAAATTATCTGCGATTGGCCTCAGATAAACTTCCTTGTATCGGGAATATTGTGATAAGATCGCTCGTGTCTTTGTGCTAATGCCATTTTTCAATTCACAGCTCTTGTAGAAATAGAGAAAAAAATGCAGTCATCAGATTAACCTCTAAGCTTTGTGGGGACTTCTGTGATACGTAGACTTTATTTTCCAACGTTTCGCTGCCTGTACCAACAAATCACACACGTGTTTAAGAAGTAGAGGAATTTCCATTGATTATTAAGTGTTAGGGTTTACTGAGGACATTAATTTTAGTAGCTAAATACTGTAAGTGAAGTCATTTCTTCGTGCACCTTTTTTATCTTGTTGCACTGCTTTCAGATGTTAGGAATATTTAAAAAAAAAGAATGAAGCGTTAAAAGATTAGTCAGTCAATCAACGTTAAAACAAATACACTTGGTTAGAAAACCTCCAAACAAATAACAGATACAATATTTCCAGCTTGAGGTTCTGAAAACAACAACAACAACAACACCGTTTCAGAATATGTTAGGTGAATTCCAAATTATTTATACTTTAGTTGATATTGACAGGGTCTTACCGCTTTAATGTTTCAGTCAATAAAAATTACTCATCTATACGACAAACAATCAACGCTTTACTCTAAACACAGTTATACAAACTATTTTCTTAAATAAATACAATTGATAAGAATCTTGAACGAATCCACGTTGTCAACATCCCTATTATCGGGATAAAATTGAGTAAAAGTCAAGTTTTGCAGAGAAATTGTTTTCCCTCGTAGTGATGAGATTACATTTGAGGAAATACATTCTGATAAAAATAGTTTTTGCTGCCAATTCAACCAATCAAGATATTTTATAGCCAGTTGTCCAATCCTCTCCTCTCAAAATTATTAAAAATTCACCAATCAAATGCATTTAATTTTAAAAAATGAATGTTTAACCTTTCTTCCTTGTGCGAGCTCATGTGAGAAGCAGACATTCTAGTGGACTTTCTTATGAAGTATTAAGCTAAGAACATCATTAAATGAGGCCTAAATAGTCTTAGACAAAGCAATAATAATTTTCCACCCAATATTTCTGTCAATAGTCCTAGTATATTACTCATTCTTTTGTCCCATTAGAAAACTTTAAAAGCTTCCTTTTTTTTTGCAATTAAGTTTACCCTCCTTCAGTAAAACTAAATAATTATTCAGGTAAACCAATGAATAATGTTGTTTTGTTATCTTCAGCTGTTTATTTGAGATTAATCTTTTCACTTTCGAAAGTTTTCATTTGTACCTCTCTTTAGTGTGTTTTATCGTAAATATTCTGAGGCAAACATTACTCACTAGGGCATCTTTAACCAAACAATGTCTATTCTTAGTTAAATGTTACCAAGGTATTTTTTATCCCTACGAGATCTATTCTTAGATAAATCTCACCAAGGTATATTTCTAGTTAAATCTCACAGGGTCTTCTTCAAAAAAGGTGTATTATTAGTTATATCTTACCAAGGTATCTTTATTCAAACAAAGTCTATTTTTAGTTAAATCTCACAGAGTCTTCTTCATAAAAGGTGTATTATTAGTTATATCTTACCAAGGTATCTTTATTCGAACAAGGTGTATTCTTACTCAAATATTTTCAGGGTATTTTTATACCAACAAGGCATATACTTAGAAAAATCTTACCACAGTTTTTTTGTACAAACAAGCTGTATTCTTAGTTAAATCTTGACAAAATATCTTTATACCAAAAAGATGTATTCTTAGTTAAATTTTATCAAGGTATCTTTATTCGAACAAGGTGTATTCTTACTCAAATCTTTTCAGGATATTTTTATACCAACAAGATGTATCCTTAATTAAGTATTACCAAGGTATCTTTTATCCAAACAAGTATCTTTTAACCAAACAAGGCGAATTCTTAGTTAAATTTCACAGAGGGTAATTTTATTCAAACAAGGTGTATTTTTAGTTAAATCTTACCAGGGTATTTTTATCTCAACAAGGTGAATTCTTGGTTAAATCTTACCAGGATATTTTATAATCCAAACTAGGTATTTTTAGTAAATCTTGCTAGGGTGTATTTATCCAAAAAGATGTATTATTAGTTAAATATTCTTTAATATTCCGGTATTCTTCCTCAGTTATGTGTGTTGCTGGAAAATCTATAGTAAACACACATAAAAATATTTCAGTATGGGAATACAACATACAGGTTATTGTTCGGTAAATTCAACCAGATTTTAAAACAACAAGTTACGTGATTATTTGTCTAAAGGTTAAAGCTAGTGTTCTGAGAAATAATCTATTTGCAGTATTTGTGACGTTTTAGTACCAGCTCAAGCGCTCTAATCTCCCAGTGCTGAGGTCTTGTTTTGTTTTGTTTTTACACACGTCAGCAACCTTTTTCTTTTAAATACGAACTCGAAATATACATGAAACAACTGAAGTTGAAACGATGACGAGTGTGATCTGGATGAGTGACCTACAAACGAAAGAATTGGGAATTTACTTGTGAAAATATAGAAATCACCAAGTCAAACAATCCCCAAGCTTACAATATAGTATTCTGCCATTCTTTCTTTTTTTCATTATTTGTTTATTTTATTGTTTATCTTTTGTTTTCTGAAATAAATCAAATCACAACAATTCAACAATAGAACAATAAATTTTGAAGCACTAAGTGTTAGACCTTTCTTTGTAGTCCATTTGTTATAGGCACCAAGTGAAGCGTTCAAATTTCTTTATGTTCATATTACGTCTGTAAATTAATATTCTGCATTCTGTGGCATAAAATTGTGTTGTAAGAGTAAACTATGTGAATAATATCTTTTTTTCTGAGTGTTTAATATTTTTTTACAAATTATCAGGATTCAGTGATAAAAGTACTTTATTATAACACTAAATTAAAACACAAACTGTTTAAAACAATTCGACGGGCATCCGTTATTATTCGTAAGAGAACACGATCAGGTGATTGAAGTTGAAGTGAACTATATATATTCTACAAATACAGTTTGTTTCTTTAATAAGAATAAGATTGAGAAAAGAGAAAGTGCAATATGTCTATTAGGGCATCAAATTATGTATTTTATATTGTTTTATTTCTCTGTCTTTCAATATAATCATTGTAAGATGGGTGCAGACAAAGCTTGGATTGTTGACCAGAAAAATTGAATACATTACTTTCGTGGCTTATTGAACTTACCTGGATACTGTAAACAAAAAACCCTAAAGCCAATCGAATGTCTATTAAAAGATATATGTAGAAATTCTATACGGCTGTGTTTAACAGGGTGAATTTTTGAAATATGAATTTAAGAGATACAATTATCCAGAAATATGGATTATTACACAACAGAAACGTCTAACAAACTTTCTATCACGTTCTACAGCTTAGATTTCACAATATGGATCTTTTGTTTCTTTTCACCTGGTAACAGTAAAAGAGGATAAAATGGAACATCAATACTTCAACTAGAAGAAGCTCCTTTTCTAGTTAGTCAAACTTCCCTGCTAATAAGTAAATAAATTCGACGTGCTCGTAAATTAAGAAACACTTTATGGTTCAGCATATTTATTTCTAGGCCAATTGCCTTCGTTGACTGTAAAATAGTTCTGGGAATTCAAAGGTTCAATAGATCTCTCCATTATAGAAGAACCAACTAATAATAAAATATATAATCTAACACAATTCAAATTCTGACAAAGGTTTGGATTGATTCATCTTTCATTATTTTTTTTACAGGTAACTTAAACACATTTCAAGGATATCAACTTCCCAATAGTTTTAAGTAATTTGTGATTTAGAAAACCATATTTTGTTTATTAGGATGCTTTATTATACTAGGTTTATTATGCAGAATTAGGAAATGGTATCTTTAGCAGATTTTTTTTGTAATGAAATGAACATAATCATTTTATGTGTTTTTATTCAATGTTCATATTTTCCAGAACATACATATTACAAAAATACTGATGAACTTGCTGAAGATTTTCAAATCTTCATTCCTCAGCTTACGAATGTAATGAAAAACGTTTAATTCCTATTTAAAGCATAAAGTTCAAACGTTACACTAGAGAGGGCGCTCATTTTTGAAGATAAAATGCGTATATCTCTCAACGTTTTTTCTTATAGTTTGGGATGTCGGACGGTAACTTTCTAAGACCAAAGATTTTTATACCCAGGTGGTTGACCTTAGTTAGCGAGTCGAGCGCCCTAACTACTAAGCCATACCTAGCCCTATACTTCCCAACTCTGCCATTTTTTTATCAACTATAGTTTATACCTTAAAAATAAATTTCCAATTCCTATAATTATATCGGTATAATGATGGTTGTTGGCTTATATTATTTGTGGCTAATTTTGATTACGCATTATTACACTACACCGTAATTTCCATTGCAACAAGTTTCTGGTAAAACGTTGAGGTCAAACTTTAACCCATGTATCTTACCGACTTGAATACCAATTAGCTTAAGGAAACTAAAGGCCCAAATGTCCATAGCAGCTGCATCAGGAGACTTGAAAGTTTTGTGGTTGAAGAAGATTGCTGTTATTCTAGTTTTTTCAATCGTCTTCTTCCTGAAAAGATCCGCTGATTGCGAAATGTGATGGAAGCTTACGAGCCTTCGTCAACTTGAATCCTTGTTTATTGTGTTGTTAACTGTACTTGGAAGTATGTCCCACTTCATCGCAATGGTCTTTTTAAAAAGTCGGAGGATTATCTTTCTTAACTATAGCATTCACTTTACAAAGTAGAAGATGTTTCTCTGGATTGGATTGAGGTTAGTTTTAGTTTCAATTGAAGGATTCCTTCATCAGAAAATCGTGTCTGTTGGCTCTGCAATGTTACTGATTTTTACAGTTATAATGATCTTGAAATGCTATATATATATATAATGAATTCGTATTGGTAGTGTTACATGTAACCTGAACGATTCCGTATAAGACACGGGGCCTCAAAAACCTGGAATAGCTATTCTTAATTTAGATCTGTTACCAGAGAGATGGCAGCCAGTCAGCAGTACCCGTTGCTTATATGCTGTTTTCACAGTTATAAACCTTCCACAACTGAAAATGAGGATTGTGTTCAAAATCATAACTTATTTTAAACCATATACTTTCGATCTGCAGCTTGCTATGCTATCCACACTCCTGGTTCTTCCTAGAGCTCATTAGGTGTCCTGTAATGTTTTTATGTGTCCTTTGTTTAAAGTCCTTGCTAGATTTTCCATCTGCAGCTGGGTACGCTATCCACACTCCTGGTTCTTTCTAGAGCTCATTAGGTGTCCTGTAATGTTTTTATGTGTCCTTTGTTTAAAGTCCTTGCTAGATTTTCCATCTGCAGCTGGGTACGCTATCCACACTCCTGGTTCTTTCTAGAGCTCATTAGGTGTCCTGTAAAGTTTTTATGTGTTCTTTGTTTAAAATCCTTGCTTTTATGTTCTTCCCTGACATTTTAAAGTTGTTTCAGGAATATTAACAATTTCTGTCAGAAAGTGACATAAAAATATTTAGGAACTTGCTGTTGCTTTTTTAAGTTTTGATTCAGTATTTCACGAACAAAGTGAAAAAACAAACACAAAATTGATGTTACTTGTTATCCTGAAAGTGCTAATGTTATGCAGACTTCAATATTACACGCCATGTAACTGATGTGTACCCAAGTTTTCCGTGACGTTTTACATGGAAGAACAATCACAAGTGTCTACAGTCTCTTTCCTAGGTTTCCACTGGCTGTTACCAGAATTTTAAAGTTTTGCCATGATCACTAATCTGAAATTTCACTGGCTGTCACCATATTTTCATCCTTTTATCACACTTACTACTCTGAAATCTCACCAGGTGTCACCAGATTTTCAGAATTTTGACACCCCACTATTAGGAAATATCATCAGCTGTCACCAGATTTTCAAAGTTTTGTCACACTCACTTCTCTAAAACCTCACTGGCTGTTACCAGATTTTCAAACTTTTGCAGCCAGAATTTTCTACGTACTGTAAATAAAAAGGTTCTCAGCACGCTCTCATTGTAAATTTTTTTCACTCCCGGATTTTGTCAATTGTTAAAAGAAAGAGTGTGTAGAAGAGTAAAAGTGTCCTTCTAGCTTTTGTCGACGATGGGAGCGAGATTATCTGTTTATTGGGAGTCTAAGTTAAACACATTTTAAGCTTGGGTGATTTTTGTCACTCGCATAATGGGTTTCAGCAGACGTACGTCACGCTTGACTGGTTACTTTCATGAGCAGTTGCTAGTACCAATAAGCAGAATTTGAATTGAAGCCAGGCAGGCGGAAGGCTGTGGTAGAAGCGGGCAGATAAGAAATGTCATTTTAAGACTGAGCTAGAAGAGAGATTTAACACCAGGGATTTAACACCACATATAAAAATCTAACTCTCTTAAGTGTTTTACTAATGCCTATTGCAGAAGGTAATTATTCCATAACGGTGAGGCTGATTAAATGTTCACTAACATTCAAAATGCATGAATATCGATAAGATTACAGATGCCCTTGTAAAATAATAACACGTTTAATCTAAGTTTTATTTCACGGACTCTTTAAACACTGAACAGCCGCCTGTAGGAAATTATTTACTTGAAACTGATCTATTTGATGTAGCACGTGCATTGTATTACTAACGCGCTTAGCCAAATAGTATTTATGACATATTTGTTTTCGCTTTTTTGATGTTATAGTTAGAGTCTTACAAACAAATATTAAATTCTGTTTAAATAACTTGTAAAATATATGTGAATCAAAAGGTTATTTTTTAGCTTTTGTTAAGAGTTTTTTTTTGTCCAAAGTGATATCAAAAGATTTAAAAACACACTTTGAATATTCCAACCACTCATTAAAATTTTACAATTAAGTAAACGCAGCCAGTTGAAAATGTTATCCAAGCGAACATAACGTATAAACGAAGATACTTTCCATTCTCATTAAACTTTCCATAACTCTTTTAATGATTTCGTATTAGTGTATGGGAAAATGACATATGTTTTTAAAATAAAAAAAAGTCAGGTTTTCATCGAATCTCCCTATAATGTGGTTTGAATTTCGTCCCTAATTTAGCAATGAAATCGTAGAGGGAAGGCAGCTAGTCATCCCCACCCACTGTCAATTCTTGGACTACTTACTCTTTTATCAACGAATAGTGGGATTGACTGTCACGTTGTAACGCCCACATGGCTGAAAGGGGCGAGCATGTTTGGTGGGAGGGAAATTCGAACCCGCGACCCTAAGATTGCGGGTTAAGCGCCCTAACCACCTGGCCATGCCGGGCCCCCTATAATGTGAAATGGTCAACAATATCACCGTTTGACCTTATGACTACTAGAGGGCAGGGAAAGCTTGTGAAATATTTTACAAACAACATTGTAAAATACGGAAGAGAAATGTGAGCACTTACCGGTCTTCGGAAATAAACTAAAGAAGGGGGGAAGGAATCATATCAACACTTGCAGATCATCGAAAAAAGTAGGGAGGATATAAGGTCAACTCTTGCTAGTCATCGAATACAAAAATATAAGAGAGGACGAGAATACTTGCTGCTGGTCGGAAAATAAACAGAAATGTAAAATCAGATCAGTGCTTGCTGGTCATCGAACAAACGTGAAGGGAGGGGACTAAAACATTCGCTGCTCATCGAAAAAGAAAGAGAAGTAAGGGAGGGTAATCAGAATGACGCTTGCTGGTGATCGAAAAATAAACAGAAGTATTGTTAGGAGGCCCAAAGGAAGGAAACTAGTCCACGGCACTCGCCGTCTGAAGCGGTTACTCTTATCCGAATAGCGGGATTGACTGTCACTCTTATAATGCACCCAAGTTGAAGGTGCTAAGTATGTTTGATAGTACACGTTTCGAGCCCTATACTCTCTGACCTGCAGTCCGATACGTTAACTGCTAGGCTACTCGCCAAGCCCGGACAGAAGCAAGGATGAGGAAGCATACCGATGGTTTTTGATGGAATACTTTTTTAAAACTGCCATAATAATAAAGTTAATTTAAAAAAATCAATTACTGTTTCCATGATTTTATTATACATGTTTAAATATTTCGTTTCTATATCTTCTCCTGAAAGAAACTAACATCAGCGATATACTAAACTAAATTTCATAAATTTGTTATTCGAATAAGACATTTTAGATACAATAAATTTACGGTAACATATTTTTTTCAATATTTAACAAGACACGTTGTCCTTGATAAATATACATTCAGGAGTCATCGTA